CTATCAGTTGTATTATGCTAAAGAAGCCTAATAGTTACTAAATTTTTTTCATCTTACATTCAAAATGTCTTACACACATCCTTTGTTTTTTCTTTTATTGCTTTCATTTCTATTTGGTGACTTCATGTCTGAACAATTACAGCAGCCATCTTACAGGTGTACCTGCTGCCAATCTATTGTTTTGCCAATATATCACATTGCTATCAAAGTTAGTTTATTAATGTGAGATTACCCAATGCTATCTAGTCAATTCTGACTCATAGTGATGCTGTTGTTGTTGTTAAGTGCTGTCGAGTTGATTCCGACCCATATCGACCCAGTATAAAAGTTTCTGAGGAGCAGCTGGTGAGTTTGAACAGCCGACCTTGCAGTTCAAACGGCTTTGCAGTCTGGCGTATTAGCTCACAGTGCCACACCAGGACTCCAGTGATGCTGTTACTTCTCTTTAAATATCTTCAATGTTTCCCTATTGCATAATTAACTAGGTTCACATTTCTAAAGCAGGATTTATTTCAGGTTTGACAAAATGAGAATAATCTAGTCTTCCTGTTAATTCCTTTATTTAATCATTCAACAAGTATTTATTGAGCATCTGCTACGTGCTAAGCATCATTTTAGATATAATAGATATGTTGTTGTTAAAAGTACCGCTAAGTTGCTTCCAACTCAATGACCTTGTAAAGAGTCTCCAGAGTGGCTTCTGGGTTTGAACCACCAACCTTGCAGTTAGCAGTTTGGTGCTTATCGTACAGTGCTACACGATACAGTGATGACAAAATAAAAATCCCTCCACATAGAACTTATACTCCATTGGGTTACAACTCTTACATCTTTTCCTAACATTTTACCTAGGGATAATTTAAGTAATCCTAAACTCAGATTCTTTAGTTGTCAGTGATCTTCCTAACTGTTTAAAATCAAAATCCAATGTTAAATTCTCTACATGGTCCATGATTTAACAGCACTTTTCTTTGTTTCCACAAAGATTTGTTTATACTATAGTACATATTTCATCTGGTTAATTTTACATAGTAACTCATATGTCTATCTTGTCTTAATAAAACCTTGAGGGCAGGGAACATAGTTTATTCATCTTTGTACCCCTCATAATGCTTTGCATATTGTATGAACTTATTAAATTTGTTGAAATCAAATTTGTTGAAACACAGAGAAACATAAAATGTTATTGTGGAGAAAAATGATATTTATTGAATGTCTATCATATGCCTAAAGTTATTCTATGTGCTTTTCATTGCATAATTTAATTCCTACAACTTCACATTTATGGAAACTAAGACCAAGGAAAATTGGGTAATTTACATGTAGGTCACAGGTAATGTCCAAATGGAAAATGAACAGATTTTTCTGACTACAAAGCTTGAGCCCTTTATATTTCACTACACAGCACTCTGATTTGTCACTATGAGTATCTATATCATTTTTACTTACTGGGTCAGTCTCTGCTTTTCATCACGGTCAAATATAGCTTTCAATTCTAAAAGCTAAGATTCTATGAAAGCGCTTAAGGATATGTTTTGTAAATCTGGATGCTATTTTTAATCTATAGGTATAAGTTAAAAAATGCATAGCATGATATTGAAATAGAGATTCAGCTACAGTTTTGATAAAACAGATTAAAATAAAAGTCTTCCGTTTGGCTTTATCTAAAACAAACTTAATCCTTTTTTGAAATAATTGTGTATTAAATGAAAAATGTGTTCATTTTGTCTCCCTCCCCCACCTTTTTTTCCTAACACTTTAGCTTGGATTCCAGTTATTATACAAAAAAGATAACCTACAAATCCACTCAGACTTTTTACTTTGAGCAGGTTTCTTAACGCTGACAATTATTTTCATTTCCTCAGCTGTAAAGGCATATTTAAAAGACCAATATTATATCTCAGATAGCAAATTCATTATTAAACAAAGAAATTAGAATTATGCACAATAAAAAGAAAACTTTGTACCACACTAGAATTATTTGAACAATTCTTGTCATAACCTCTTTGTAATTTACTAGCTGTAAATTACTTCCTTATTTTGGAAGTATTATTTTACCCTTTGGGAACATGGTGGCTCTATATGATAAGCACTGGACTGGGAACCACAAGATGTGTGGTTCAAGCCCTCTACCCCCATCCCCATCTCCCCAGCTGCTCCACTGGAGAAAGATGAGGGTTTCTGCACTCAGGAAGATTTAAAAGCCTCAAAAACCCTATAGTTGCTCTGAGTTGGAACTGACTCAATGGCACTTAACAATGTTCAACCTTTTGCCTGCTATTTAAGTTTTTATCATTTGCTTTAGGATACACAATACAATAAAGAAATAGTAGAACATGTGGATTTATAGTTATCACTCAAAATACCCACAATTCAATGATTTTAAATAAATTTTCATGATTCTAATCATAGTGACTGGTAGGTTTGAACCACTGACCTTGAGATTAGTAGTCCAGTCCTTATCCTACATCACCCCACCAGGACTCATATTCAAGTCCATTTCCCACACACTCCTGATGTGGCACTGTGGGCTAATGCGCTGTACTGCAAAGTTGGTTTGAATTGCAAGGTCAGTGGTTCAAGCTCACCAGCCACTCCTTAGAAACCCTATACAGGTTTGCTGTGGGTTGGAAGCAACTTGATGGCACTTAACAACAGTTTATAATCTGATGCTGTTTACTGTGTAGGGCAAACTACTGCACCTGCAATACAAAACTAAATGTAATTGGAAGGCTGTGACATTGCTGCACAACACTTCAAAACCTCATGATCATCTATACCTTTCTTCCTGACTACAGGTATCGTTTTAGAATTTAAAGGAAACTCAGAAAACAACAGATGGGATTTTCCCAAGACATCAACTCATTTTGCATTATCTTTTCAAATCAGTATGATTTTAAATGGAGGGAAAGCAAATTGCCGTAACATTCACAGGTCTCTCTGATCAGCAATAAGACAAAGGTCTGATTTTGGAGCCAAATGACCTAGTTTCAAACTGTACTTTTGCCATATGGAAACCTTGGCAAGCCCTAACATTGGGTTGTTATTGTTAAGCACCACCGAGTGAGTTCTGACTCATATTGACCTAGTATTGGGTTTCTGAGAAATGTCTGGTGGGTTTGAACGGTTAGTTAAAACCAGTAGTTAGCTAGCAGTTCACAGTCCAGTGCTTATCCTACTTAAATTCTCTGTACCTAAGTATGCTTATTAAGTAAAATAATAGTAAGACTGCAGCATATCTCCTAAGGAGTACTGGTGGTGTTGTAGGATAAGCAGCGGATTGTGAACTGCAAGGTAAGTAGTTCAAAACCCACCCTTCACTCTGCAAGAGAAAAATGAGGCTTTTTGCTCCCATAAAGATTCACAGCCTGAGACACTATAGTGTGGTGCTGTGGGATAATGCGCTGGACTGCAAAGTCGGTTTGAATCACAAGGCTCGCAATTCAAGCTCACCAGTCGCTCCTCCGAAACCCTATACAGGGTGGCTTTGAGTCAGAACCAACTCAAAGGCACCTAACAACAAAGAGTTGGAATCTACTGGATGGCAGTTCCAGGTGGAGGGTGGGAATTAGGAGTGAGACGTATCTCACAGGTTTCTTGTGAGCTACAACTTATTATTTGCTTGGTACTTGAAATTTGGTAACCATGATACTGAGTGTTATCCATTCTGATTTTAGTGTCCCTGTAAGGCCAAAATAGAACTGCCCCATGGAGTTTCCAAATCTGTAAATCTGTATGGAAGCAGATTGCTACATCTTCCTACCACGGACTGGTTGGAGTCTGCTGACCTCTTGGTTAGTAACCAAGCACTTAACCTCTGGGTCACCAGAGATTCTTGTAAGCGTGATGGCGATGTGTTCATCACATGAGCAGAACTGTCAATCAGGAACAGCAGGAATCATTTACTGAGAAACTCTAATAGTTGTCACTACGTTTTCCTTTGTCAGAAACAGTATTTAAAATATATGATGATTTAAAGAATATCTTACATTGACGTTAACAGGTAATTTATCTCTGAAACACCTATTGTGCCTGGTACCTTGAAGACACAAGTACCTTTTAAACACCTACTGTGCTTGATCTCTTGCCTCTGCAGCTAGAAATGTTAGTCTTTCTACTCTAAATTTGGAATGAACTATTACAAAGTTTAAAGGAGTATGCAACACAAAATGCTAGACTATCACATAAATTAGCTGTTAAGTAAAAACAGCAACAAATTATGATGTACGAGCATACGTTGTATGTTAATATAGACACAACTACTAACTGAAAGTCTTTATTTCGAAATTTACACATAGAGGTGGTGAATACAATGCCGCACATCGACAAATTAAGAAGAGTTACTGATATTTTACTTATCTCCGCCTGGGGTGTTGGGGATGTCAGAAAAAACCTGTGCCAACGATCCTGTAAAGCTATGAAGTGAAAAGATGACGAGCTTGACTGCAGCCTAACGTGGTAGGCTAAGCAAATATGCCAGGGAACTAGCGGCGCCGAACCACGAACGGGATAGGGATGAAGTAGTTCCCCACCAGTCGTAGGGCCCAATAGCGAAAACGGCAAGTTATTCTTCGCGTGCGATTTCCTACTCCCGGGTGCGGGCTTGCCCATGGAGTTCCGCTCCAGTCGCAGCTGTGGGGACTTTGAGTGAAGAGCCTCAGCGCGGCTGGGTGCAAAGAAAGCAACCCAAGCATCTGCACGGCTTCCGAGGCCCTGCTCTTCAAAAGCGAATGGTTCCTTCGTCGCGTCCCACAACCTCAGGAATTGGCACCTGGGGGCTAGCGACGGCTGAGACGTCCACGCTGGGCGGGTTCAAGAGGTTGTCCCAGCTGGCCAAACCTGGCCGCCCTAGGTTGAGCAGCGTTGCGACCCTCCGCGTCCTGGAGCCAACGTCACTTCCGGCGCACGCGCCCTCCCGCAAATAGGGACCTGGACCAGGGCGCGCGGTTGCCCGGGGGCGCGCAGGGAGGGCGGGGAGGGGAAAGGGGGAGTGTCTGCCCGCTGCTGCCGCCGCCGCTGCCTCCGCCACCACTACTGCTACAGCCACTGGGTCTGAGGAGTTCGCTGAAGCCCATTCCTCAAGATCGGCCCCAGTTTTCCCTCCCGGAGCCCGGGCCCCAGCACCCAGAGCACTCGCCACACTGTCGGGTGCACAGCGGGAGTTGCCTTAGCCTGTGGAGCAGCGGAGACGGCCCCAGCCCTCTTTCCCTTGCTGGCCTCTTCTTTCCATCTCCCCAGTTATGGGGAACGCGGCGACCGCTAAGAAAGGCAGCGAGGTGGAGAGCGGTGAGTCTAGGGTCGGGACTGGGTGTGCGCTGGGTGGTCTGGCGCGCCGTATGGAGCACCCCTTCAGGTCGGAGCCCCAGAGGCTGCGAGCACAGTTCAGGCCTAGCCGAGGTCGCCGGGAGCTGCTCGAGGGGGCCTTGGAACAGTGGGCCCCTCTCCCGGTGCTCCAGGGTGAGGGCTGAGCGTCAGGGCGGATGGCGAGAGCGAGGGAGCAAGCGGGCCCCGCGATTCCTGTTCTCACTCGAGCGAGGTGGGCTGCACACATCCTGGAACTCTTTCCTCAAATACGGTCCGAAGAAAGCCCTCGCTTTCCCCTTCTGACAGCCCCCTTGGGAGCCACAGGTACTGCGGTGGGTCGAGCTTGATCTTTTGCCTCCATTCCCTGGGTCCGAACTGATTTTATCACCAGGTGAGGACCTGCTTGTCTGGCTTTCTGCAGCTGAGCTGATCCCTGAGTGGTCTCAGATCTTCCCTGTCTTCAGTTTAGGAGTGGAAAATATACTATGAACAGCAAATTTATCCTTAAGGGAAACATTCAAGAATCTGCTAACTTAAAGGTCGTTTGGAGTTGAAGTTGCGGAATAGGATTGATTCCTCTGAGAGCAGAAAGTGCATGCACTTCACAAAGTTTTAAAAAAGAAAATTGAATTTCTGTATGGTGGTTGTGAAAAATTGGATTGGCTTTATAAGGTTTATATTATTTTTGTTCTTAAGTGCCGTGGAGTCGGAAGTCGGTTCCCATTCATAGCGACCCTGTACAGGGTTTCCGAGGAGCAGTTGGTGGGTTTGAACTGCTGACCTGTAAATTTACAGTTCAGTTATGATCCTATAACGCCACACCAGGATCCCATGAAATATATATATGCATATATACACACACACACACATATATATACGCATATATATGTTACAGTATATGCATATACACACATATATGGTGTGGTGCTGTGGGCTAATGCGTCACACTGCAAAGTCGTTTGTACTGCAAGGTCGGTGGTTCAAGCTCACCAGCTGCTCCTTGGAAACCCTATACAGGGTCACTATGGATCGGGATCGACTTGATGGCACTTTACAACAACAACATATATACATACACACACACCTACACACATGTATATATATATATGTGTGTAGGTGTGTGTGTATGTATATATGTGTGTGT